AAGAAGTATAAGGCACAGGCCCTGCCTTCATGAAACTTACAGTTGGGTAGGGAGATGCACAAATACATGCGCACAAATCGTTATGGCAAAGGGCAACATGTGAAAGTACAAAAAGAGACATAAATAATAAGTTCACAACATCATTTCAGGCAGGGTTAACCAAGGAGATCATTATGGCGGAGAAAGCATTCGATTTGGCCTTAAAGGAAAGGTATAAATTGAACAGGCAAAAGTCCTAGGCCTACACTCTAAGTCATCAACGAAAGAGGAAAAGGGTCTAGTATTTAGAGTTCTAGATTTGGAGTGAGGAAGATGAAGGTTCAAATATTGCCCCTAACACTTGGTAGGTGTGTTTCTCCAGGCAGGTGGCTTTATCTCTCTGAGCTTCAGAAAGGATTTATCTACAAAGTTGTGGTATCAATGAGATCATATATGTAAGGGGCTTCACAAACATTAAAGCGTCATGTAAATAGCTATTATTATCATTGTAGATGGGTTGGAACTGTGTCAAATGAGATTATGTAAAACCATATCTATATCTATTATGTAAAACTATATCTAAAACTATATCAAAACATATGTCATCAGAATCCTCCAGATCTCCTACTTTTAGGGTCAGCAGTGATATGATGATAGAGGTCCATTCAGGAGTCAGTCAGGAAGGCCTGGGTTCAAGTCCTGCTTCAAATACATACTGCATAACCATGGGAAAACATTGAGCCTCTCAGTGCCTCTGGCAACTATCAAAGGCAATATAAACTGAAAAAAAAAATCACTGATCTGCATTAATGGAGGGTATCATTTCATTCGCATTGATGGGATAGCTGAGTGGTGCAGTGGATAGAGCACCAGGCTTGAAGTCCAGAAGTCCTGAGTTTAAGTCCAGACTCAGATACTTCCTAGTTGTATGACCCTGAGCAAGTCATTTAACCTCTGTCTGCCTCAGTTTCCTTATCTGTAAAATGGGGATAATAATAGCACCTACCTCCCAGGGTTGTTGTGAGGAACAAATGAGATAATAATTGTAAAGCATTTAGCACAGTGCCTGGGATATTAGCTATTATGATTATGATGATGATTAAATCTCAGATCTAAAAGTCCCTAAACCCCCTCCATGCCCCCCCAAACCTGTATTTTTAACTACACAACAAACAGAACAAGAAACAGAGAGGCCAACTCACTGACACTGTTTTTATCCTTAAGCCTATATTTGTTTAGGTAGAACATGCTTTAATATTCTGGAGAAAGCTCTCACATCTTAGAATTATAGTCATGCAAGTTTCTGGGCCCAAGGAGAGGAAAACAAACCATTTATAAAAGATGAAATCTCCATGTAACAGTTCAAAAAGATAACAAATGGAATGACACACCTACAAATAACAGTCATTTGTAAAATGAGGGAGCTCGACTCAGTGGCTTCAAAGCTTCCTTCCAGGACATCATTCTATGATTGCACCAAATGTAGATAAACAGAAATTGGCAAACTTATGGGCTGATACAACTTTAGAGCTGGAAGGGATCTTAAAGATTATAAAGACCAAACCATATGCTTTTTTTTCCCAAATAAAACAATCAAAATCTAGAAAGGTGAATAGACTTGTCCACAGTCAATGGCCAAGCCCAGAGTAGAATCCAGGCTTCCTAGCTGGGTATCATCAGTGGAATATAAGACTGTCATTGAAAATTTCGCCTGTAACAAAAACAACAAAAAAAAGTTGCCATCTTTTAAATCTCTGTTGATCTACCACACCATAGATAGCAGTTCAATTTAATACTGAGAGTTACATACTTTCTGTCATAGTGGGTCATGTTATTTTTTTCCTCATTGATTATATGTCACTGAGATATAGAAAAGGAGCCAAAGCCCTAGATGAGGGCTGGAGACTGGAAACTTGCTTCTATTTCTAGATGCCTTCATTTCCTTTCTATTTTGCTTTCAGCCATTAGTCAGGCCATCCATCAATCTGTGCCTCTCCTAGGAAATGAGAAGGGCTTAACTATTCATGGAGGTGATTAGCAGCACGGTTTGGTCACAAATGGATATGTGTGACCTGATACAACTCCAAAGGTGACTGTCGAGATGCAAAATACAATTGGTGTTGGGAGTTCTTAAATATTTCACTTTGCCCCTCCCACCTCAGGTTCTCAGGGAAGAACAGAGGGCTTTAAATGAACATCGGCCACAAGATGAATTGAATTAATTCAATTAAGAAGTGTAAAATATGCTCCTTTTGGAACCAGAAGACCTGGGTTTGATCCCTAGCCTGCTACTTATTGCCTGTGTAATCTTGAGTAAGTGACTCTATGAAAATAAAAGGGCTAGACAAGATAAGAGGTGTCAAACATGTGACCCTATGAGGCCTACAATATCATCCTCATTCTCATCCTCATCATAGCTAACATTTATATAGTCATTACTATGTGCCATGCACTCTCATTTGATCCTCACAACAACCCTAGGAGGTAGGTGTTATTATCATACCCATTTTACAGATGAGGAGACAGAGACAAACAGAGGTCAAGTGACCCACTCAGGGTTACACAGCTAGTAAGTGTCTGAGGCCTGATTTTAGACTCAGTTCTTCCTGACTCCAGGACTGACACTCTATCCATTGGGCCACCTGCCACACTCTCTAGCGTAGAAGGAACCATATTAAAATGTAATTGGGAAATATTTTACAACAACAACCACAACAACAATAAAAAAGAACTTAGATGATGTTACCACGGTTTTCTAAGTCAACATACACCCACAGAAATCCTTATGTTCTGTTTGGTGCCCCCTTCCCACTTTCTGTTTGAGCTTAACACCACTGGGGTAGATGGGAGATCCTTTCAAGCTCTAGATATGTATGACCCTGCAAAATAACTAATATCTAAATGCATAAAAACACTTTCAATACTCTCAATCTCTGGCCTGATCTTTAAAGTGCCCCATAGAAATTGTCAACAACAGTGGGACCCTGTTACAGCATGGCTTTTTGATTATGCAGATTTGAATATGAGGAATCACATTATGTCCCTAGAACACAACACGGAGCTGTAAAATTGTAATATAACATCACTATTCTTTAAAATGAGGGCTAATCTTTTCTTCTAACACCAATATTATAAAGGAATTTCAGTGAAAGTGGAGCTGCTTCACTTCTGCCTTTGTATACCCAGGGCCCAGCACACAGGAGGTACTTAGTTAATGATTGAGGATTGAAAGAGTGGGATTTGGTGTCAGAGAATGTGGGTTCAAATTACAGCCAATGTTTATATAGAACTTTAAAGATGGAGAAATATCTTAGATGTTATCTCTTTTGATTTTCACAATAACCCTGTGAAGTTGGTACTATTATTACCTCCAGATGAGAAAACTGAGATTAAGAGTCCTTAACCTTACCCAGGGCCATACAGCTAATAAGTGAGTGCCTGAGGAGAGATTTAAAGTCTTCCTAACTCCAAGTCAAAGCCACTAAAACAATCATGCTTCTGTTATGTCCTGGTTCTTCAAACACGGACAAGTCTGCAAGTTTGCCAGTCTGCAAGGTAAGGTGGCAGGGTTGTACTCATTAGCTCTAATGCGCTTTCTATGCTGAAATCCTATGTAGCATCTATTACCCTGTATCCACTGAGCACTTGTGGATTTTTCCTTGCCTCAGATAAAGCTTTGCACTTACATTAGAGCCTGGAGCAAAAAAAAAAAAAAAAAGTACCAACACTACCTTTATTTCCCTCCTGGAAGGTTGCTAGGTAATTTGGCCCTAGTTAATTTGGTAAAAGTGACAAAAACGTCCCGAAATTGGCGGGTTAGATAGCTTTGTTTAACGAATTAAACTGATGTGTATTCAGTCGTAGAAACCTAGATCTAATAATGATAGATAACATTTATATAGCACTTTGAGGTTTGCAAAGGACTTTCCAAATATTATCTTATTTGATGCTCACAGCAACCCTGGGAGGTGGCTGCTATTATTATCACTATTTACCAGGTGAGGAAGTTGAGGCACAGACTTGCCCAGATTAACGAACCTAGAAGAGTCTGAGGCAGTATTTGAATGAACAAGTCCCGAGCTCTCCACCTAGCCGACACTTGAGCTGGTACGGACCACAGAGATCATCTAGTTCAAACCTTTCATTTTTTACAGATGAGGAAACTGAGGCCCACGGAGGTTTAGGTAATTTGCCCAAGAGAAGAGAGCTGAGAATCGAACCCAAATGTCATTTATTCCCAAGTTCAGATTTCCTTCTACTGCACCACGCTGCCTTTCAAATCACATCCATCCACGGCAAAATATAGAGTAAAGTAAAACAAAACACAGCCTCTCCATCCATCCCACCCTCCCAACCTCCTAAATCCCACCAGCCTGAAAGTCTAGGCTGGGAAATGGGTGTAAAGAAATTAACTAAAAAAGCACAAAGTTGAGAGTCGGTGATGTCGATTGCATAGGGTGTGGAGGAAACGTCGGAATGACTGTAAAACAATAACATTTGCGCCTGCTTGGAGAGAGGTACTCCTGGCCAGGGATTCCCGAGCCTAAAAACCCGGTGGTCTCAGATCCGCACTCTGTGCCTCCTCAGCATGCCTCTGGGACTGTGCTGTCCGAGCCAGGCTGAGCCCTTAGGAAGTTTGGACCAAGTGAAGAAGTCACCTCCGTCTCACATCATCAGCATCGAAACAAACAGCAAACAGCGCGCTGCTCTCGAGTGGACAATGGATTCCCATCTGTCAACGCGATCGCCCTGGAGTGCAGATCTGGGGCTGGCAACACCGTGCTACCCACCCTTGCCCTGGCCAAGGCCAAGGCTAATCCCCGCGGGCCTCCCGTTCGGGGATGCCTGATGGTTTATCTCTAGGCAGCATCCCCCAGCCTCTCTCCTCTAGGACTAATGACATTTCCAGGTGCGTACGGGGTCCCGCGGGAGCTAGTCCTCCCTCCCTACGCCCAGGCAACAAGTTTCCCAGGCAGTGAATGTGACGATCGCGTCGCGAGGAGGAGGGACACGACACTCACCGTACACCATGGCCCCTCCAGTTTCGTGCAAGAAACGGAATCGGTGGTTTTTGAATAACCATATTGTGAGGATGGTCAGAATCAGAAGGAAATTAAAGACCAGCAGTTCCACTGCGCCCTGGTGCTGGAACTGAGACTCCTCTTTGGGAGACAGGAATCTGAGGCTCCCCATGCCAGTTCCTTGAGGGGCTTGTCTGAGCCAACAGCCAGGATGGAGGCGACGCTGCCTGCTCCCTCAACAACTTTTGCAAGAGAAGTCTGGGGCTTGAAGACTTACGTCCTCAGTCTGCAACCACATCCACTTAGTCGCAGCTTCGAGGCATACCGCCCCAGTTTAGTATTCAGATGCCTTCTAGTTACAACTTCCTGTTTCTCTCTTAAAGCAGCCTTGTCTCTTTTTGTTTTTTCGAAATTTTAAGCTTCAGAGTAGTATTACACCACTGAATTTTACTATCTTTAAGCCATGTGGTCCAGGAAAAGCGTTTCGAATATTGCATGGCTTTTACAAGTGAATATTTCAGGATCTTATGTGATGAGCGATGGGGATTCCCAAATGTCTCAAAGAGAGAGGTCCTCCTCTAAGAGAATAACTTTTAAATTGCCGAGGGTTTTCTATTTCTTTTCTTTCTTACTTTTTTTAAACATTTTAGAAAGTTAGTAGTGATAACAAGTGGAGCCAGGAAGACATCTGCCTTGTGGCAGATGACTGTGTGACTATACAAGTCATTTAATCTCTCAATGCTCTAGGTACCCCTCCAAGATTATCAATTGAATAGAAAGGTCTGACTTTTGCCCTGGTAGAAAGACTTTCTTCTACCAGCAACTTTCCTGTGCCAGGGGTTCTTTATCTGGGGTCCATGGGCTATGTGAATTTGGAACTCTTAATATTTGGTAATTGTATTTAATTGGAATTGGTTTCCTTGTGTGTTCTATTTTATACACTTAAAAACACTATTCTGAGAAAGAGTCCAAGTTTTTCACCAAATTACTAAAGAGGTCCATTACACACACACACACACACACACACACACACACACACACACACACACACACACACTCCCTACTCTGTGCCAATGAAACCACAACTTTAATCCTTGGCCTAACCCTTTCCCCTTTTAAATTCTTTTTCCCCAAATCAGGAGAAAGGCCACCTTATCTGAACAACATTTTCTAAGGTCCAAAAGTGAATGCCCAAATCTAGGATAATGATTTGAAGCTTAATAAAGAGCTCACAGGCCACGTAGTACATCCCCTTTGTTTTATAGATGAGGTAACTGAAACCCAGAGGGGTTCTGATTTGCCTAAGAGAGTCACCTAGGCAGTAAGAAGAACAGCTGGAAATTCATTGAGAGAGTGGTTTATTCTATTCAGTTAACTGACTAACTCCAAATGCAGTGAACTTTCCACACCACAGTGCCTCTAATCCTGTATCCTAACACACACACAAAGTTTTTCCTCCCCAACAAGAAGCCATCCAACAGCATGGTTGATTATTGATTTGGCCCAGGTGCTGACCACTTGTCAGGTTTTTTTTTTAATATTTTGTTTTTAGTAGAGAAATGAGCAATGCTCTATGCTAACAAATGCTCAACTACTTTGGGCATTCCTACTCAGAAGAGAAATACTGCCCTAGCTGCTACTATTATATAAGACCATCAGATGGACACTGAGCATATAATGCCTAAAATAGTTGTGTATTTACTAGTATAGAACAGAGACTGACACTTTTCTATGACTTAGTAGATAATTGAGAAATCTATTACAATGGAGGGAAAGATGGGAGGGTGGGCTATGGGCTTTGCTTGAACCTTACTCTCACTAGTATTGGCTCAAATAGGGAATAATATATACAATCAGTTGAATATATAGTAATGACAATGAAGTAATATCAATAGTAAACATATATGCTCCAAGTAGTATAGCATCCAAATTCTTAAAGGAGAAATTAAGTGAGTTACAGGTTCACGACCAATTGACATATAGAGAGCATTATGAAATATAAAATAAATAATTTTGATTATATTAAATTAAAAAGCTTTTGCACCAACAAAATCAAAGCAACCAAGATTAGAAGGAAAGCAGAAAGCTATTACAGCAAGTGTCTCTGATAAAGGCTTCATTTCTCAAATATATAGAGAACTGAGTCAAATTTAAAAGAATGCAAGCCATTCCCCAGTGGATAAATGGTCAAAGAATATGAACAGGAAGTTTTCAGAGGAAGAAAGCTATCTCTAGATTTAGTGGATAATTCCCGAGGAGTCAGAGGAGCTACACAAATGTTAAGTGACTCACCCAAAGTCACACACCTAATAACAGAGATAGAATTTGAACCCACATATTCCTGGCTCCAAGTCCAGCATGCTATCCACTTAGCACTTACCTCTGAGCCAGTTAAAAAAAAAAAAAGAAAATCCCTTTATTCTTCACCTTGCTCCCAACATATTTTACTTTTTAATAGTATTCCTTGGTTAAATTGAGGCAAACAAGAAAGTTTTTAAAAAATATTTATTTGAAGGTCAATAAGAGCAGACATATTTAGCAACATCACCTATATACAATTATATTTCAAATCAGAGAGGATTTTTGCCAGAGTAATCAGACCCTGGGGAAGACTGAGACAGATTAAAAGCCATCATCCCTGTCTTGGAATACAATGGCAGCCCTTGAATGAAACGATTCCTCTGGAATAAAAGAGCTCTTTTAGTAAGCACTTCTTTCTGAAAGAAAAATATCCATCTTTTCCCTTGTTAATTTGGTTCTTTCTGAATTACAGTTTTGAATGCTAAAAAAGAAAAATACAAAATTCTGTTCTGAGCATAATTTCTTCCTAAGTCAATGTTCTGTTTTGTTCATATGGTTTATAATAGAAAGCAACTGGTTCTTCACAACTGTTGAGTGAATTTTTCTACAAGCCCTTGCTATTTTTTTTTTGAGAGGTATAATTGTTGTTGTCCAGTCATAACCCATTTGGAGTTTTCTTGGCACTAGAGTGGTTTGCCGTTTCTTTCTCCAGCTCATTTTACAGATGATGAAACTGAGGCAAACACGGTTAAAGTGACTTGTCCAGGGTTTTATAGCTTGGAAGTATCAGAGGTAGCATTTGAACCCAAGTCTTCCTGACTCCAGGTCTGGAGCTCTCTCCATTGCACCATCTAGCTGTCCCAAGATATAATTACCTAGGAGAACTTACCACGCTGACAGGAAGCAAGATGTAGCGCAGGGACACTGCATATACATATACACACACAAACACACACACACACACACACACACACACACACACATATATATGAATGTATGTATATATACACACATACACACACATAAACATATATATAAATAAATGTATGTATATGTATGTATGTATATATTTATACATACACATATATACATACATATATACATATGTGGTGGCAAGGTGGTAAAGTGGATAGAGTACCAGCCCTGTAGTCAGAAAAACCTGGGGATCAAATCTAATCTCAGATGCTCACTAGCTGTGTGACCATGGGCAAGTTATTTAACTCTGTCTCTAAATGTATGTATGTGTATCTATCTATACATATTGATTTACAAACTTCTTTTTAAAATATTTTAATAACTACATTTCAATATAATTGGTTTCCTTTGTAATCCTATATGTTTTATTTTATGCATTTGCAATCATTATTCTGAGCAGTCCATATGTATCACTAGTCTGCCAAAGGGGTCTGTGGCACACAAAAGTTTTAAGGATAGTGATCACAGGATTCAGGAAGACTTGGGCTCAAGCCTTGCCTCTGACATATGCTGGCTATGTGACCCTGAACAAGTCACTTACCCACTCACTGCCTTAAGAAGCTTAAGTAAAGAAGTTGCAGGGAAGGTTCTGACCTACATTGGAAGAAGGTACATCACAGGTTTAACCACTATGCCTAATTGCCTCTATCCCAGTGTCTGTTAGCAAATGTCAGCGATATGAGATTGATTACAGAATAATGTAATTTAGAAACATGATGTGATTCATTTATGAAGAGGAGTTCAGATGAGTGAGCAAATATCTTCACCCTCCCTTTCTTCCCTACCCCCTCCCCTCAGTCAGCTCATTGATAATTGGCTCATCCACCCAGAACGTCTGGCTGCTTTTCGATATCCAATTCCACTGCTGACTTCCTTGCTGATTTTAACTCGACAGGGTGTTGTACTCACTGCCCCAGATGCTCCCCTCACACACTCTCCTTTTTTGGCAAGCACGTCGATGATGACTAATAACTAATAAGCAGGCTGTTTTGGAACCTGTTAGCTACAGCTCCTGAAAGTTTCGTCTAGCTGCTCCAACAAGTTCTGCCTTTGTAGTTTTGCAAACCGACGAGTTAGGTCTTGAGTTTTCAGATTTACCCGATATCCAATTCAGAAGCCAGCAAGTGTCTGTGGCTTTGTGATAAAGCCACTGAGAGTCATTCTTCCTCTGGCCCTAAGTTCTCCGGGCTGTGCACATGAGAATGGCTTCCTTCTGTCACCTTACCATGGACTTCAATCCTTTTCTATTCACAGAAGCATCCAGGTATTTTCAGACGCTGGCCTTCACTTGTCTTTATCTTGTGACCATTTAATGTTGAGGTGGAGGCTAAAGGAAGCAGGAATGTTTTCACAGGCCCTACCAATGGCAGAAATGTGGTTTTCCTCATGTTGAAGCTTTGGGGATAGATTTTAGGATAATAAAAATAATACATTGATGAATAAAAGAATCATGGATCTTAAAGGGATTTCAGAGGACATTTAGCCCCGCCCTCTTATTTTTGAGAGAAATAATGCCCAAGGAGATGAAATGGCTTTTCTACAATCACACGGGCGGTGATACTGAGAGGTGGCACAAGTATTATTGTCCCTACTTTTACAAATAAGAAAACTGAAACACTGTGAAATTGTGATTTGCTCAAGGTCAGACAGGCACTAAGTGTCTGAGGTAGGATTTGAACCCAGACCTTTGGCTCCAAGGGACTCACTCTTTCTGATACATCCACAAGAGTAAGGTAAAGACCAGGTCAAGATATTGATTACATTTTACATTGTGAGATTCAATTCAGTCATTTAGCTTGTCATAAACTTTTCAAAAACTGATTGTCTTCTCTGTGTTGACTACCCCCCCTAGACTTGTATAATCTGAAAAATTCAATTAGGATGCCATCTATGGTTTTATCCAAGTCACTGATAAAAATGTTAAATAGCACAGGGATCTCTAAGGTACCTTTTAGCTCTAAATCTTATGATGTTAATTGATGGAGAGGGAAGAGAGGAGGGGATTAGAAACAGGAAATTTAGTCCACCTCTTCATAGAAACATTATGCATGATTAACATAGTGGGTCTAGCATTTACACAGCA